AAAAAAAAAAAAAAAAAAAAAAAAAAAAAAAAAAAAAAAAAAAAAAAAAAAAGGCTTGACTTGACCACAAAAGAGAATGAGGCAACACCATGAAGGAAATTTTTGTTTATTTTGTAATTCACTTAATGAACAGAAATATTAGAAGTGGACAACAAAGTCAAGAACTTGAAACTCACCAGCAGAGGGCCTGTTTCGACCTTCGGGGCTGCTGCAGGCTGCAAGCAAGAAAGGGCTCACCTGTTTCGACCATCATCATTTTCATGCATTTCTTGATATCCATCATCACCCAAAAGCAATGGAATTTGATGCTTCCAAGTGAAGAACCAAACTCCAAAACCCAAGTCAGAAAATAGAGAAGAAGAGTGTAGCAGATTTAAGGAGATGATTCGATTAAGCCATAGGAACTTTGTGGTCAATAGTAAATTTAGATCAAAACATTTTAAACCCAACAAATATTTCAGATAATTATGAAGCTGAGTGTTAGTGGAGAGATCATACTATAGACACCATAATTGGAAGAGTGTAGAAATGATTATTACATGGCAGCAGCTAAGAATTGTACTCAGAAGGATGGATACAGCGTACATGAGCAATAAATACACAAATTGATACCACTGTGTTAAAATAAGGAAGAAATCAATGAACTCGAAAAAAAGAAGAGTGGACAAATTATTTTACAGAGTTAGTGAGGTAGCAGCGAAGTTGGGTACTCAGGTGCTCCAAGTTTCTATAGGAATTTCCATCTGGATATGCTGCACCTTTGTATCGTTATATCACAAGAACTTATCAGGCCATGTAATGGGGGCACACATTCAGTGAACTTAAAGCAGAGAGTGAGTGAGGATCTATATCTTTTTCAACTCACCGGAATGAGCACGGTGAAGGAAAAAACAGTTCACTCTTTTGCGACGAGTACTTCAGTCTTGATAAATGTTATGGATGGCAGTAGTGATGCTCTTACAATCGAAATCGATGGTCTTTATCCAGTTCTCAAAATCTCCAATTTCCTATGATATAAACACACATCAAATTACTTTACTATCTCGATCACATATCAAAATGAAAAAAGAAAAAGAAAAAAACATAAGATACGTATAAAACATGAAAGGAAATAAGATTTGGTAGGCTGTACTCGTTCACATATTCAAGATTATGATACTCATGTCATTCTTTTCAACCAGTTTCTGTCAGTCTTCAACCAAGAAACTTTTGGATGATTCAAGTCTTAAGATTATTCACGGAGAGGACACAAAATTTCTGAACAATTCTCAAAAGAATTTGGATGGCATCTCATATTTCCTAGGGAGGTAAACAATTTATTGGACATGGCATTAGCTCACCACTCCTTTAAGAATACAAAAGTCTTGCTATGAAAAAATCTCATTATGGTTTTCTTTTGGATTCCATCTTTTGGAATCGGTGGAAATAAATCAAAGAGTATTTATGAAGAAGACATTAACTTATACAAAACTCTTCGACAATGTTGTTTACCACGCTATATTTTGGTGTAAATTGTCTAATACTTTTGTTTCCTATAGTCGTACCTCCCTCATATTGTAAATTGGGAAGGTTTTTTTTGTAAACATCATGGATAACACATCTCTTATGTAAATTTCAAACATCAATGAAATTCTCTTACAAGAAAAGAAAAGAAAAAAGAGGTGACGAACTTTAGGTCAATAAGATGCTTGGAAACCCTCATGTCCTCCCCCAAGAAAGTTCCAGAATAATTTCTCAACGGTCTTGAAAATCTTGTTTTGCATCTCAAAAAGGGAGATATACTAGGCGGGGAGGTTACAAAGTGTCGCTTGGATAAGTGTGTGCCATCTTCCCTTGGAAATATGAAAGTTTTTTTCCAGCCATTTAATATCCTTCGTATTTTTTCCACGGTGGGAAAAGAAGAAAGCTTTGGGTTGTTGTTCAAAGGAAGACCGAGGTAAGACCAAAATTTCAGTTTTGCAAATATTGATATTGAGACCTGAGACATTCTCAAAGGCGTGAACCATACCAAATAAGTTATGGATAGCCCAATGCTCATGAGATGAAAAGAGTAATGTATCATCTGCAAATTAGAGATGCGTGATGTTACAGCCACTAGAACCAACTTCAAGCCCCTTTATAGATCCCGAGGATGCCAATTGAATCAAAAGACAGCTAAAGCAATCCATAATCAGGATAAAAAGAAAGGGAGGGAGAGGGTCACCTTGTCGAAGACCTCTAGTGGCTAAAATCTTGCTCCTAGGACACCCATTGATTATAATGGAGAATTTGACGAGGATATACAACCCTTAATCAATTTGTGCCATCAAGGGTTAAAACTTTTGACTTCTAGAATATTGTCAAGAAAGGACCAATCCACCTTGTCAAAGGCTTTTTCAATGTTTAGTTTGATGAGAAATCCATTCACTGCAAGTTAATTGGTCACAAAAGATGTATCAAGTACAATTTATGAGTGCCTGCTGAAAATCAGTGATGATGAGAGGAAGAACCGTCTCTAAGCTCTCTGGGAGAACCCTGACAATGATCTTGTAAGGACAAGAAGTGAGGTTGACCGGACTAGTCATTTACAGTATGCGAGTCCATTTTTTTGAGATAAGGCAAATGTAGGTTCCATTCAATGCAGCGTTTATAAACCTGTTCCTACAAGTTTCTGGAGCACACTCAAGATGTAACTTTTAAGGATGTTCCTAAACATTTTAAAGAACTCAGCTGTAAACCCATCCGGACCAGGACATTTGTTGGAGCCCAAACCTGATACCGCTGATTTAATCTTCACAGTAAAACCAATTTCTAAAAGCAAGGCTTGCTGTGCAGTAAAAGAATCTCATTGAAAGATGTTGGAAGAGAACCAGATCCTGATTTCTTGGTATAAAGATTGGTGAAGAGGAGCGAAACTTGATTTCGATTTCAGAATAAGTGAGGCAGCTATTCTTAGACAGAATTTGTGATTTAGAATTTTTCCACATTTTTTGTAGCCATAATTGGATGGAATAAAGAGGAATTTATGTCACCGTCTCTAAGCCACTTTATCTTGCATTTTTTGGCTCGAGAGGATTTCTTTTTTAGTAAATTTTCTTTTAATAAATTCCTCTGAATTTTGTGAATGGGATGAAAATCCCTAGATTCTTCCTTGCTGTCGATGAGAGCTATTTCTGTAATTAGCTGATTCTTTTACGTAGTAATGCACCCAAAAGTGTTCCTATTCCACAACAGCTTTAAGGCCTTTAAGTTTTTCAAGATAAAACCATGTCCCAGACAGCCACGAAAAGGTGTATTCTTCCACCAATATTCCACAAGAGAGAGTAAGGAATGATGTTGTGACCACATATTCTCAAATCGAAAGGGGGTAGGACATCAAATGGAACAACCAAATGATAAAAGAATGGGGAAATGGACCAATGTAGGCGTCTAGAGCCATCTGACTGATGCATTTGTAAATTTTTCCATCACCCCTTTTGATAAAGGAAATAATCAATATGAGTGGGTGTTGGGGAGTATCTAAAATCAGACCATGTGTAGAGGCCATTTTGTAGAAGAATATCTATGAGTGATGCACTTTCAATGAAGGAGTTAAAAAAGACTCATATTCCTCATGACATGGCCCCCAAGGATACAGTCCCAAAACCCCTGCAGAATTGTCAACATCACACTTTTGAGGATGTGTTTTTTATCGGAGATTGTCGCCAGGGGGATGGAGCTATGGATTCCAGCCGAATAACCCAAGTAATTGTCAATAACGAAGAAAGGATCAATCTAGATATAAATGGGCATTCAGATGAAGACGACAGACTTAAAACAGCTAGGAAACCAATAACCAATCCATTGCCCTTGATTTTTTTAGATGCGTCCATCAAATCCATTCATGACATGGTTCTGTTCGATGTTTCAATGAAACCTCCACAAGCGTCTCATATGTATTTGAAAGTTTCATTATCCCATCAATGAGCCGAGAGGTTTTAGATTCTAATTCAACCCCCATTCTTTGTCTTCATATCAAAGGAGGGCTCTGTCTTATTCAAAGGGTTCATAGAACAGTAACAGCTTGTATGTCGGTGGAGAGCTCTTGATATCTTGTACCAGCCATCGTGAAAAGTTTATTGTAAACAACAATAGAGGATTCCAGTTGATCAGTTTCCCACTTGTTAGGGAATGGGGATTCTTATGTTCCTAGACTAATGCATATTTATAAGAAGATAAAGCAACACTGTCAGAATCAATCATGGATATATGGAGGAAGGGGGAAGCTGGTGATAAAAGGGGAAGGGAGGGTCAGGGAGAGAGCTCCACGCCGAGTGGAAAAATCTTATTTATTTCCACCTGGAATCTGAGGAGTTTGATACCTTTTCTGATTTTCATTTTACCCTTAATACGTTCATAACCTGTACGAGTTTGAAAAGTATTTTTTCAAGTTTATAGCCTCCTCTTTCTATCAATGTGATGTACAAGTTATTGAAAACAAACCATCAAACCAGGAGAAAGAATCCTTGAAACCTAAATGATAGTTGGGGGAGCTGTTTAGAAAAATAGCACTTTGCTTCTGTACTTCAAAACTGTTTCCAAGAGTTGTGCTGAATGGCTAGCAAGTTAATGAACTCATTTATTTTAAAATGAATTAGTAGCTTAAGTCGTCTCAAGAAGACCAACAAAAAATAGCTGCAAAATGCCTCTGACTAAGTTTCAGAAACTACACTTCTATTCATATATTTCTTGATACGAGAACAGGGGGCCGTTTTTGTAAACTCTGCTCAGCGACTGAGTTACAATAACTAACCACTATCATGAATCTAACAGAAAACGTTTAAACAAAAATGAAAAATACGAAACAGTTCTAACAATACTCTAACAATATACACAACTCAATGTCTAACAGCCCACAAGCTCTTCGTAGGACACAAATGGGCTACTTGCAAGCCATGATGCACCATTTAGACCACTATTGGGGAAAAATCTTTTAGACTCAAATGTGATTAGCAGGTGGTATCAAAAGCATTATCAACTGCAGTACCATAATCCTTCAAGCTCGAATGCCATCAATTCTCAACATTATTTAATTGGCTTTAAAAGTTTTACCAACTTATGGAAGAATGAATTTGTGGACTTCAATTAACAATGCTAGAGGGCTTCCATTCGCAACAATGCTGAGTTAACTTATGCTTATAAACAGCTAAAATGTAGGTTTTCATGTAATTTTAACTCAAGAGTAGCTTTCACAGAATGAGAGCAAACCTTAACAGCAGTGTTCAGAGCGTGAGTGGCGGCGAGCCATTGATCGGTCTGCTTCATAAATCGGGTAATCGTGGTCGATAAAGCCCTAATTTCAAGCTCAATCAACTTCTGATTGACAAAAGACCCCTGAACTCCACCATTCACGGCATCGACTAAGAGATCCGAAACGCGCAAAGCCTTCTGAATAGCATCTTTCTTCGCCTTCTCTATCGCCATGATTCATAACGACGATTACGATTTCATTTTACGAAATTCGATTCAGTCAGCAGAAAAAGGTCAAGAAGACCGATAAAGAAAGAAAAAGCGGAAGTAGCAACTAACCGGAGTTCTCTCGTAGCTTGAGAGAGGCGTACTGGTGATCATTTACCATCTGAAACAACGAAGCTTCGAGTCCTCCAACGTCGGCGCTCAATCTCTCCGCCTCCGATTGGAACTTCCCGCGATTACGCGCTGCAGGGTGGTGCTGCCGGGATTGCCCTGACGGAGAATTCATGTTCGGCGGGTGAAATATTCTGGATTCACATGTAACTCACGCCCAGGTTATTGGATAATTTTATCTCGATTCGATTATTCTCAAATCATTTTTATTATTTATCTAAAATTATGAAAATTACCCGTAATTTTGCTATTGGTTTAAAAAAAATTACTAGAATATTGAACGAAAGAAATGGTATATAGAATAATATGGCATAAATCAATAATAATTTATTTAAATATATATTTAATTCGTTTTCTACCGATAAAAACTTATTAAATTAAGGGAATTAATTAGCTAAAGTTTTATTTTACACACAACTATAACTAATTATTGATAACAATTAATTATTTATTAATTCATTAGTTATTAATATATCATACTTTTAAAAACATAATTAGTTTATCTAAATTAATTAAATATTATAATAATTATATATTTATTTAATTCATTTTTATCGGTGAAAATATATCTGAACTTATTTACTAAAATCATAATAATAATCTCTTTTATTATTATTTATTTATTTGTAGAGCATTAAAAAATTATAAAATAAAATAAAAAATAAAAAAATAAAAAGCTAAATGGAAAAAGTCGTAGTTCATAACTACCAAAATTTAAATTATTTGACTCTTTCCTTCCCAAAGTGAAAAAAAAAAATGGTGAAAATCTCCAACCTTTCTTTCCTTAATTAATTTAAAGTAAGAGTTGACCTTTGTTTATTTCAAATTAATATTTTATTTATTAAATTATATTCAAATAAGTAATTAAAATCTATCTATTTATCTCAAAACTCGAATTATAATTTAAAAAATGTTATGGTAATTTATAAACAAAAAAATATGTTATTTATCCATTAATTTAATAAATTAGTATATCATGATTGGTCGTTACTCCCACGTTTCATATTTGAATTAATAAAAATGAAAAAAAAAAGTTTTATTTTAATTTGTATAGTAGTAAATATTTAAATTTAATTTTGATACTTTATGATAAATTACTCTAAATTAGTCCCCCAAATTTTAAAAAATATATTTGCATTAATTTTCTTGAATGAAAAGTATCATTATGATTTTTAAAATTTAAATATTTAAAAGTAGGGAGATTAAAATAAAATAAATCTATTTATCAACCCAACTATAAAAATAAATAATGGGTTTGGTGAATAGAAATTAACCCTAGTTTGAAAAAGTAAAATGAATGTCTAACCGTAGTTAGTGAGTTAAAGATTGTATGTTGACTTTTTTTTTTCTTTTTTCTTTTTTTAGTTATTAATATAACATATAATTAAAATTTTTAATTAAAAACAATCTGACCGTTCAATTCAACTTAACTTCAAAATAGACGATTGAGTTGGGTTGGATTATGAACTTTACTCGATTTACTCGAGTCACTAATTCCATTCACTTGAAATTTTGAATTAGTTCAAAAGATTTTTTTAATTAGAGAAATAAATTTGACCATTTCCAACATTTAAATTTTTTGAGGAATTGGTAGGAAGGTTAACTCATCCGAAAATTTGTCAATCTTTGTCATTAAAATAATTTTTCAAACAATCTTTTACATTAAATCTTCCAATTTCCATTGTTAGAGCCGGTGTTCAGTCTGTTGTCGCTAAGGAAGCTCGCATGGGCGCTTCTCTTCTCCGTCTCCACTTTCACGACTGTTTTGTTAATGTAGAAAACCCTCCTTTTGTTTTCCTCTTATGTTTCGTTAATGTTAATGCGTTCTTCCTTTGCTTGATTTTTGTGTTGTGTATTAGGGTTGTGATGGATCTATTCTTCTCGAAGATACTCCTACTTTTACTGAAGAGCAAACTACAGCTCCCAATGTTAGATCCGTTAGAGGGTTCGATGTGATTGAGAGTATAAAGAAGAATGTCGAAAAAGTTTGTCCTGGTGTTGTCTCTTGTGCTGATATTTTGACTCTTTCTGCTCGGGACTCCATTGTAGCAGTGAGTTGTGTGTAATTTTCCAACCTTAATTTGACTCGACTTGATGATTCTAATTCTTTTGTTTTGAAATTAATTGTTACAGCTTGGAGGGCCGAGTTGGGAGGTGAAATTAGGAAGGAGAGATTCCCAAACAGCTAGCTTCTCTAATGTCGCTGGTGCCATTCCTCCACCAACCTCTACACTCGACAACCTTATCGATCGGTTCAACACTAAAGGCCTTTCCCCTCGAGATTTGGTTGCCTTATCTGGTATTATCATTCATATACCAAGTTATCATCTGCATCTTTACGTAGCCTTCTCGATCTAAAGCTTTTTTTTTTTATCTTGCATGCATGTAGGGGCTCACACGATCGGGCAAGCAAAATGTTTGTTTTTCAAGAACCGTATATACAACGAGACCAACATTGATGAATCTTTCGCTGAGGAGAGACAGAGGAATTGCCCAGTAAATGGAGGAGACGATAACCGTGCTCCTCTAGACTTTGAAACTCCAAATCTCTTTGACAACTACTACTACAAGAACCTTTTGGATCAAAAGGCTCTACTCCGCTCGGATCAAGTGCTGCATGATGGTGGATCCACTGATTCCTTAGTTGAACTATACAGTGACGACAGTGATGCCTTTGAAGCTGACTTTGTGACAGCTATGATCAAAATGAGCGACATTGAGCCACTCACAGGATCACAAGGCGAGATTCGAAACGTGTGCAATCTAAAATACTGGGCTCGATCCAACCAACTTCTTAGTCCATTAACCAAGTTCATGGGCTCAGTTATGGGCTCAGTTATGGGCTTACGTTTTACAAATTTAGCCCAAATAGTTTTGCTGGCTAATTTTGTACACCATTTTTATTACAAATATCTTTATATTTTTTTTTTTCTATAATTGACATTTTTCATTTATGTAAATGATCTTTATATTAATTACATATCATTGTTTAATTGAGCTGGATTCCGATATAAAAGAAAGGTTACTCGACTACGATTCTTTATATTTTCAAAATTGATTTTGATATGAATTGTTCTCACTCTTCCTTAATATTTTTAGTTAATTTAAATTATTTGAAACTTTCCCGATATGATTGTGGGACTTCTTAAGTGTAACTAGATTTCAAAGAGCAGTTTTAATCTAGCATCAAATGAGTGTAGTGGCTTCAGCTTAGACCAACCAAGTGGTCTCACTGTTGGTTTAGTTAGATAACTTGTTTGTTATATGAACGACGGGTGCCCCTATGGCCCCTACACATGTTGTGTCTTATGATTGTTTGACGTGTGCTATGATATATGTTATGTCGTGCTATAAGTTATGTTGATATGATTATGTCATGGAACTATGTTATGCTATTGATATATGTATGAACCTCATGTGTCTCCCTATTTGAACTAAGTTGGTTATATGTAGAGAAGTATTACACAACCAACCTTGTCTAGACTAAAAAGCAGAGTCCAAGGTCATGATGTTTTACGAAAAACAAATCTATCATGATTGCTTGCATTTACCGACCCAATACTAGGGCTATTTATTGAGTATTTTTAAATACTCAAGCCACCTACAACTTATTTTTCGTTAAATTTTGTATAAATATTTTGTATCACATCTATTTTAAACAAAAATAACTTTTTCTGGGTCAATTAAAAGTCAATATAACTTTTTTTTTCGAGGATGGTTGACGACTAGACTAGTGACATCCATACAGTACATTTTGAAGCTGTTCGGGCCTAAACATAATTTACAATTAATTAGTACCAGAGCCATTCAAGTCTAACGAGCTTAGTAGAATTTTGTAACCAATAAAAATTACCCTAACAATACAACATGAAATAAAAACGAAGAGTTTGGTGTGGTATGAACGTGCAATCAAGGGCAAAAGGTGGTGGACCAACATGATCTTCACACTCGGATATCAAAGCGTTTCTTCAAATTAATTGCGTGTGTAAATTTGAAGCTGCAAATTCATGACGTTCGGCAGCTACTTTTCCAAATCTATCTCTCCAATTGCACCCTATTAAAACCCTAAAAAACCAGAGAAACCAAAACCAGGACCTAAAATGGCCGCTCTCAATCGGAAGCGACGAAACATTTGCATAGCCGTATTACTTTCCCTAATCGTGCTCGTAATCTTGATCCTCATTTTAGCATTTACAGTTTTCAAGCCCAAGCAGCCCACCATCACCGTCGATTCAGTTTCTTTGCTCGATCTCAACATTTCTCTGAACGCTGCGAGGTTCGGCGTCGATCTGAATTTGACTCTGATTGTGCAACTCACCGTCGAGAATCCGAATAAGGTAGCCTTCCAACACTCCGATGGCACCGCCGTCGTGAGTTACAGAGGCGAAGAAGTCGCAGAAGCGCCGATTCCGTCTGGTCGGTTGTCGCCCGACGGGACAGAGAAAATGAACCTAACGCTGACGATGATGGCGGACCGGCTACTAGCCAAGTCGGAGCTGTTCTCCGATGTGATCGCTGGTGAACTTCCGATCAGCACTTTCGCTCGGCTGGCCGGGAAAATGACGGTGATCGGTGTTTTCAAGATTCGTGTTGTGGCATTGTCGTCTTGTGATCTCACCATCGACATTAGAAACAGAAGCGTTGAGGATCAGCGATGCGAATATCGGACTAAGCTCTAAGAATTTCAGTCCAAGTAGTTTTTTGGGTTCTGGTTTTTGGAGGTGGAAATCGAAAATTAAACACAATCCTAGGGGTAAATATGGAAATTTGTACAGTCCAAAAGGGTCTTAGGCGTTTAGCGATGCTTGTGATGGCCAATGCACAGCGCGTGACTTGTCTTCTAACGACGGAGGGTATAACGGTAAATTCGCGTGTGGAGACTTGTCTTTTTAAATCTTTTTTTACCAAATTTATAGAGAAATGACGTCATTTTGTAAATAATCTGATTTTTTGTTTTTTTTAGAAATAGGATAATTAATGTTTTTTTTTTTTTTTAATATTTATTAGATTATATATATAGTTGAATTGTAAAAATATATATAAGCTAAATTTGCTATGTTAGGTTAGCAAATCCCTTGATAGCTTGTAATTCATTTTTATTCGATTAGGTTAACATTTATTGTTGGTAATACTCGTAAGTCACTAAGGGACCCATTGAAAAAGATATCGATCGAATCAGTGAAAACCATAATTCTTCGTTTTTTTGTGGTCAAATTCCCGTAAAAATATAGTAAATTATAATATTAATTCTTAAACTTTGATAAACTAGTTTTAACTTTTAATTTTGTGTATAATAGTTATTGATTTAAAAAATATATAATAAGTCTCTAAGCTTTCGATCGACGTAACATCATATAATGTCGGAGAGACTTAATTTTATATCAACGCCCTTCGCAGAGATCTCTCTATTTTATAGTTTCGAAAGAACCTTTTTAATTTTTTTTTAAATAGTATTTTAAATGGTAGATTGTAGTTTTTATAATTATTTCTTAGCTAAAATGTTTTATTTAGGTGTGACAAATAAACGTGGTGTGATGAGTAGGTGTTATAGTATTAAGTAGATAAGAATAAACGTTTAAATTGGATAACCGACCACAAAAAGTTTCCATTTTTCTACCCATCTCATTTTTTTTGCACAAAAAAAAAAAAAAAAACCCGCACCCATCTAATTATTTCTTAGCTTTGGTTTGGTTGGATGACTTATTTGTTGCAAGAACCACACATGCTGTATGGCTCCTACATGTCGTGTTTTATGTTTATGTTATGATGTATGTTGTGTCATGATGTCAGATATACCATGATATAATTATGCTATGCCATGAAACTATTTTATGTTATTGATATTATTTGATGCATGAACCTCCATGCACCACGCAGAGCCATGTATGTAAATCATGAATAATATGACAAAGTATCAAGTATGTATGCCTTATAGAAACGCTGTGTCAGGAAAAGAATTGATGTATGAATAGCGTCATGAATGTGAGTCATATTTTAATGTTATGGAGCCCCATGCATTTTGTATGAAATGTGAATCGAATACTTCCTCGCTACATTTAATACGAGCATGTACTTTACTATATCTATGTTCGCCATGATATTATGTAGGTTCTTTTCCTAGTGACATCTGATACTGTGAGTGTGCACTAGCCTGATAAGTTAGGACATATACAAGACCGCCTGGTGAGTCCATGTGCATGTGTGTGAGTCATGCGTAGGAAAGTACTACACACGTCCTGGAAAGTAGAGTCCAAGGGCATGACACGATAGGTCCCACTATGATGGATGTGTTTCCAACTACTAATTCTTTTCATGTAAAGGCGCTTTACCTTCTTTCGTTTCTCGGTAACGAGTTGTCCTAAAAAATGACTTAAACCCAAATAACATATTAACTAACTCTCGATAATTTAAACAAAATAGTAACAATTTACATTTTGAATAACCATAAAGGTGTTTTTATTTTATTAAAGTTGGAACAATATTATTTTGTAGAAAATTAAAGATGGGTAATTGGATCTGTTAAACAGGTGGTGTCATTTAACGGGTGTTTCACCTGAAGAAACATGCAGTTGCCCGTATACGATTCTGGCCCCTAAAGGCAGGCTGGTCGAGTTTTCTATGATGCACCCAGTTCTGCGGCCCTCCCATATGCATTACATTGAAAAATCATTTCGAATTTATGAGCTTAAACCAAGCTTCCATCTTAATCCTCTCCATTAATCCTCGATCTCGAGATTTTGCTGCTCTTAACCACAAGCCGCCTCTTCGCTTAACCAAAACGGTAATTGATTTACTCCAGTTTCTTGTAAGGGTTCAAGAATTAAGAATTTATGGACTCCTAATTTCGTTATCATTATGGATTATTTGCTTCATGTTCTTTCTTTTTGTGTTCTTTGATTTTGATTTTCTTCAGTTTGCTACAGTGTTAGAATTTTATTGCGGAGATAGATATAGAGAGAGAGAGAGAGAGAGAGAGAGAGAGGCGTTGCTTCTTTTCTGAGAATATTCTGGTTTTTGTTGTATTTGCTTCAATCTATTGCACTAACTATGAGAAAGATACCTTCGAGTTCTTTGGTTATGGAGAGGCTTAATTTGAGTGGGAAGATTAAAAAATGAAGCAGAAACAGGGAAGCGGTAGATTGAATTGTTTGGAGAATTCTAATAGCTTTACAGATTGATAATTGATTCTAAATTCTTGTTGCGGTTGTGGATGTGATTCTGATTGTATATGCGTTTGTGAGCTTAGTTTTGTGTATTAAGACGTTCGATATCGATAGTTTTGTAAATTTTTTTTTTTTTTTTTTTTTTTTTCTGAATTGAAAGTTCATTAATATGAATGGTTTGCAAACTTCCCTTTGCCGTCAGGGATCTCTTGCTGAGTATCTCGCTTTTGGCTGAAGGGTGGGCGGTGGTGGTTGATTTCGATTAAAGAGAAACCAGAGGTGCTCCAATTCTCTGGTTTTCCAGGGAATGCCGAAAAATGACTCTTATCCTTCACAATTCTTTCTCAAACATCTATAATTGTTTTGATGCAGTTGAATTGCCCTGTTTTGCATTGGAGGAAAACAGTGTCATAAATCAGGAAACCTCACCTGATTTGTGCTTTCAAACGCTCAATCTACATGCAAGTTATTGCGTAGAGCGCGTACTCTATCAGTACTCGATTTATGGGAAGATGGTTGAGCATCTTTTTTATTATCAACTCCTGCATTGTTGATCTGGTTGATATTAGGATATTGTTCTGTACTTTTCAATTTTAGGATTTGATAGATTGGGATGGATAATAAGCAGATTGTGGTGGTTCAAAGATATGAATTAGGGAGATTACTCGGCCAAGGAACCTTTGCGAAGGTATATTATGCGAGAAATACAGAAACTAATCAAAGCGTGGCCATTAAGGTGATTGATAAAGAAAAGATCACGAAGGCTTCACTAATAGATCAGATTAAGCGTGAAATATCTATTATGCGACTTGTTAGGCATCCTAATATTATACATCTATATGAGGTTATGGCCACCAAGACTAAGATCTACTTCGCCTTGGAATATGCTAAAGGCGGTGAGCTCTTTGACAAGGTTGCTAAAGGGAGGCTGAGGGAAGAAGTTGCTTGGAAATACTTTTATCAGTTGATCAATGCTGTTGATTTTTGTCACAGTAGGGGAGTATATCACCGTGATATAAAGCCAGAGAACCTACTTCTTGATGAAAATGAGAATCTTAAGGTGTCTGATTTTGGTTTAAGTGCTTTAGCCGAGTCCAAGCGCCAAGATGGGTTGCTACACACTACTTGTGGTACTCCAGCTTATGTTGCTCCTGAAGTCATCAATAGGAAGGGCTATGATGGTGCAAAAGCTGATATCTGGTCTTGTGGAGCAGTATTGTTCGTCTTATTGGCAGGTTATCTTCCATTCCACGATTCAAATTTAATGGAGATGTATAGGAAGATTGGAAAAGCGGACTATAAATGCCCTAGTTGGTTCCCTCGTGATGTACGTCGGCTGCTTATGAGGATGCTTGATCCAAACCCCTCTACTAGAACTTCCATAGCAATGATAAGGCAAAGTTCTTGGTTCAAAAAAGGATTGAGGTTTAAGATGTTAAGAAGTGAAACAGGAAGTGATGCTAAAGCGGGTGAAGATGCAGCAGCTGTTTCTGGACCATCAGAGAGTAGTAGTGTGTCAGCAGATGGAAATCAAGAGCCAGATAGACCTCCGACGTTGAACGCTTTCGATATCATCTCCCTTTCTGCTGGGTTCAATCTATCCAGTTTATTTGAAGACAACTCAAAGAAGAAAGAAACATTGTTTACTTGTAGAAAACCAGCCTCTGTTATTCTCTCCAAGCTAGAAGATATCGCTAAACTTCTCAGGTTTCGGGTGCAGAAGAAGGAAGCAGGCCTACTGAAGTTCGAGGCGCTGACAGAGGGTAAAAAGGGGCCTTTGTCCATTGATACAGAGATATTTGAGATTACTCCATCCTTTTATTTGGTGGAGATGAAAAAATCCAATGGGGACACATTGGAGTATCAGAAGATATTAAAAGAGGACATAAGACCAGCTCTACAGGATATTGTATGGGTATGGCGAGCCGAGCAGGAGCAGGAGCAGGAGCAGCAGCAACAACAGCCTCAGCCTCTGCCTCCGCATCAGCCTCTCGAACTGCAGGATCGGGATCTATATCTGGACCAAGAGGGTGTATCACAACAGCAGTAGCAGCTCGAAGAACAATCATAAAACCTGGATTTGCAAGGACCTTAATGTCGATCTCCCCCAACTTGTACTAGTAACATACTTTTCTGTACATTTGTTCATCTACTAAAGCTACACTACATTCTGATAAACAACTTGCACAACAAAATTGCAAAATCTATTATCAGCTTCTTATATCTTTCACATATTCACAAGAAGTACCCGAATTACGTTTTGTACATCGAACTTTATCTGTAACTATCCATACATATAGAATCTGTATCTTGTCATTGGCCAGGCTATGAAATCCTGGCTGATTGATCAAGGAGAGGAGCCTCAAATGAGTAATACAAGCTCGGAAGCAGCTGGAGTTCTAAAGTATGCTTCCATGTAAGTGAAACCTGTAAACTTTAAACTCCACAGCATAAGATATTTGTCTGATGAGATATAAACTTCATTGTCCAAATGCTTTTGAACTGCTGTTGCTTTCATGACAGTTCTGGGTCACGCGGCTGTGCTATGGCATTGGGTTTGGCTGGAAGGAACAAAAGTGAAGGTTGGTGAGTTTGGCAAAAAAGAAGAGACACGTTTGCAAGTCATCATGTGGGATTTAGATTTCCTTGGTAACGCCTATCTGCAAATGTCATTCTTCAAAGTCATTCATAAATATAACTTTACAGCACTGCTATGTTCTTGGTGGTTCTGCACTTGAATTGAAAGGTTTGGTTTGCAACTTTTCAGCCTGCTTTTTTAACTCATTTAACACCCGGATATAGCTAAGTTGGTAGAGTCATATGAGGTAAAGATCTCATGTACGATCGCTCGAGTGTCAGTTAGGTGACCTTACATTAGAATTCATGGTTAATAATGATAACAAGTGTCATGTTTTATATGTTTTGCATCATTTTTCGGAAAATACATACGCTATCAATATATGGATAACTATTTCTCAAGAACAGGTCTATGTTTGTATGTTTGTGGGAAGAAATTACTCATGGTTATCGATGGAAATTATGAATTTTCATAACAGAGGATTGAAATTGAAGTTGTTGACGGTATTATTAGCAATAATGGTGTGGGAATCTTTAAGGCCATTAAGAAAAATGAATTGTTCATAACATTACAGCTTAGCATGGGGCCCCTTTAATCATTTAACTAATTTCCTATTTGAACATTTCCAGCCTCACAAACCATATTCTTCGTCCCACTTGCCAATCTGTCACCATTATTTTTTTTTTTTTCATTTTGCAAATCTTTTTATTATTTTTGGTTAAATTATATATTTATATAACATACCCGTTTAATCTTTCATAAATATTTCAAAACTACTTTCTTAATGTTTTGGACGAAAAATTATGATGTAAAAATAGTTACGATACTTTTCCTTCAACGTTCTTATGATTTTTTGACTCTAATGATGATAGTTCTGAAGCATTTATAAAATTTAAGATTTAAATGATGATAGTTCTGAAGCATTTATAAAATTTAAGATTTAAACTATTGTTTGCAAATTGAAGTTGATATATGATTTTGCCCGGTATGGTCAGAAAATTTCTCGGCCACATCTCCAAATATGATGCTTTCATCTCCATTTCATGTGCCCTTGTCTCTATGCATGCCACTTTCCGACTCAAAAGATGACAACGAGATGAGACAAAACAACTCGAAACCAAACTTCGTCCCAAAGTATCTCAACAACTAAAACGTTATCAACTTCAATTCTGAAAAACTTTCCAATCATCAACCATCAAGCTCGAAATCATGAAAATGAAAAAGAAAGAAAAGAAGTAGAAAATGAAAGAAAAAGAATGGCATTGAATTGGTGAGATTTTTATATACACCAAAAAGAAATGGTATTTACATAATAATACATACATAGAGAACAGCTAAACAAAGAACCCTAATTCTTCTGAGTTCTTGGCAGTACCAGGGAATTCATTCTTAAATTCCACTGGCAGATGCTTTTATTTTTTTAAAATTCTTTTTAATAGCAGATTAAAGGGTATTGCAGTTCTTAACTACATTAAGATTTTTAATTCCTTTTTTTTTTTTTCATTATAATTATTAACGTTCTTGAAATTCATCAATTTTTTAAATCGAAAATACATTACAGCATCTTCTTCTTCAATCGTCAACATCACCCTTTCTGCCCTAATTTTTTTATTCGATTCTGAAGAATTCCACATGTCTCACTGGTTCTGGTCGCCGGAATCTTGTTGGGATGTTGACGTCGACGTCGACGCTTCGTTGCCGGTGAGGTGACATTTGAGCTTCTTCTTCAACAATTCCTTACACGATTCTGCATCTCCACTTCTTCTTCTCGCTTCCACCACTACCAATCCGTCGGTTAACCGGAAGATTTCGATTCTGATTGATAAATTACGACTCTGCCCATCCAATTCAACTCCAAATTCCTTTTGTTTCTTCACCTTCAAATTCTCTGCCCTAGCGAGTTCCTCGACTTTCTCCACGATCTTCTCTGGAGACTCTGCTGATACGAATCGCTCACTGTCCGCCTCCGTGTTGTGCGAATTGTCGAATAAACCGGATAGATCTAATCCAGATGAGAATGATATAAGGTCGAATGCGTTCAAATTCGTCGATTCAGATTCGTCCTTATCTTCATATTTCACCTCGTAATCATCGTAGAAATTGATCTCCTTAATTGGTCCTTTTTTGAACCACGGATCGCTGAGAATCTCATCGACGGTGATTCTCGTTTGAGGATTTGTATCCAGAAGTCGCGATAGAAATCTCTTGAGGTCCGGCGACATCCATTTAGGGCACCGATATTCTCCCTTGTAAATCTTCTTGTACATGGCCATAAGATTCGGATCATTGAACGGAAGGTAACCAGCACTCAACACGAAAAGAATCACACCACAGGACCACACATCAACTTTCGCACCGTCGTATCCCTTCTTCGACAAGATCTCCGGCGCGACATACGCCGGAGTTCCACAGAGTGTGTGCAAAAGGCCATCAGAGCGGATCTGGTCCGTTAACGCACTGAGTCCGAAGTCCGAGACCTTGAGATTCCCATTCTCGTCGACGAGGAGATTCTCCGGCTTCAGATCGCGGTGGTAGATCCCACGCGCGTGACAGAATCCAACGGCGGAAATCAATTGCTGGAAGAACTTCCTGCTCAAATCCTCGCTGAATCGGCCCTTGGCGACCTTGGCAAAGAGCTCGCCTCCTTTGACGAATTCCATAACAAAGTAGATCTTGGATTTGGTAGCGAGAACCTCATGGAGTTTGACGATGTGTGGATGGCGGAGACGGCGCATGATGGCGATCTCCCGCTTGATGTTAGACATTAGCGTTGTGCCATAGATCTTCTTCTTATTAATGACTTTGACGGCGACGCTCTGGCCGGAGCGAAGGTCGCGGGCATGGTAGACCTTGGCGAAGGCACCGCAGCCGAGGAGCTTTCCGAGCTCGTACTTGCCAAACAGGGCATTATTGCCGGCGGAGTAGGGTTCGATCTCCGGCATCAGGCTGCGAAGGGCCAGAGATCGAATCAGAATTACAGAGAAAAATGAAAGAGAATCAAAATGGTTGAGAAGAGAAGAGGATTTTGAAAATGATTATAAAAAGAAAACAGAGAGGGAGAAGAGATTGTTATATTATAGAACAAGGTTTGGAAGAATCCTGAAAGAAGGGCAAATTTGGAATTTCATATTTTTAAAATCAGAAAATTAATTAATGTTAAAAAAACTTTTAACTTACTTCCTAATTTGTTAATAAATAAATCTTTTAATTTTATTTATATTAGATATAAAATTGTATTTTATGCCGTAAATTTCAAATTTAGTAAGTACATGAATATAATCTAATAAATACAAAATTCTTCTAATTTATTAAACATTTTTTAAAAATTTATTAGAGATAGAGTATTTTAATAGACAGGCCGCTCTTATGAATCTATTAATTTAAACATAAATTATTAGGCAACAAAAAAAAAATTATTAATTCGAATCTCCAACTTTTTAATTGTTGTTATTAAAAATAAAGCAGCGAATAAGAACCAGTGTTAGGTGTAATTATGATAATAAAAAATGCTTGCCAGATTATTTTTTTTTTTTTTTAAAGAAAAGGAATTTATGAATTAAATTTGAAATTTAAAAAATACAGAGAGAGAGGGAATTTACCGATTTTTCTGACTTTTTAACATTTATTTTACTAATTTTGTTGACAATTGAATTTAAAACATTTAATAAAGATTTGGGGTTAAGGGTACTTGTTAGGTAGTGATTGGCTGGGACTTGACACGTTTATGATGATGCCACGTCGGCGCCGTCCGCGGTATCTAACTTCAACGCGTTGACTGGTGAAACTGAGCGTGAAACGAAACGACGAGAAGAAGTGTCGTTTTCACGTGAATACTTGAAACTGTGTTCTTTGTTTTACCCCCGTTTTGTGGCTTTCGTTTTGCCAACTGGACTTTGGAACGGTCAATTTTAAAAACCTAAAACAACCACCGAGTTGTTTTATTTATTTATTTATTTATTTGTGAGGAGAGAGAAGGGTAATTTTGGAACATGTGTTTGGTAATTGGTAATTTGTTGTAGACTTAAAAATTGGATAATATGTTCATAAACAATAAAAATAATAATTAAAATAAAAAGAGAACTAAAATTTAGATGGTATCTTAAAAATTATGAATATTTTATTTTATAAATATCTTTCAAAACAATAAAAAAAAAATATCCTTAAAATTTTATAAGTTTTTTTAACGCTCTTAATTTTTTCCGAACTTTTCATTTTGGATAAAAAACATTCTTAAATTTTCATCGGCAGAACAACTCAAAAGATAAAGAGTATCGTTAACTTCTTCGTGCTTGTTCCAAATTCAAAGTACCATGATAGAAAACGAACCTAAGGAACCTATGATCCTCAACCTGGATTGCAAATCCCAAATTTATTTGTCTGTCCCAAAAATACCAAAAAAAATTAAAAATTAAAAAAAAATACTGATACAAAATACTCATAAATTATCATAAACCTTTTTTTATAAAAGTAAATGCTAAAAACATAGAATTAACTGTAAAAAAGTATTTTACAACCATAAATTAAAATTTAAAACTTAAAATATTTTAATGAGAGGAAATAAAAAAGAAATTTCTAAAGGAATTGGATTCTACTTTTCTTTTAAAAAAAAATGATTGGATAAGAGCACGCGCAGGCAGAACAGTAATCTCGACGCACATACACCAGACATTAAATTTTCACATGCTCATTCATATTATTGCTTTTAATAATATGTCAAAAACTATCTTTTATTACTGCGAATTAGTGAAATTAAAAATTTATAGTAAGGAGTAAAAATGATTTTTTTTCTTTTTTTTTCTTAGAATTATATACAACCAGAAAATGGAAGGGCAGAAGGGACCTTTCCTGTAAGCTTCAAATAACCACGTGTCCGAAGATGATTCCTGGAAATTACGTAAAGATATGAAAACAGAGTACAAGTTCAAATCTGACACAATTAAAATAAGTAATTTATTAAATAAATAAAATAAAATAAATGATGTCACGGAATATTCACCGAATCACAGCTCCATGTACTTTTTTATTATATATTAGAGAGAGTCTAAACAAATATCACGCTTAATAATTAATAATTAACAATTAATATGATTTGAAAACCAAACCCAATTCCTATATTCTCACCCACCATTTATGTGCCTCATCATTAAACCTTCCTAATAATCCAAATTATTATCAATAAACTTCTGTAATACCCACAACAATAGTTATTAGAGCTTAATCTCTCTCTAATTTCATGCTTCTTTCGGGAACACTTTATTGAAATTATATTTCCTAAGAGTATGATGTTTCCACAAAATCATGCATATGCTCGGTATACTAGGAGATGCGATCAAGTCATCATTTTTCCTATCTAAATCATTGTGTTGCCTTTCTTAGTTCCTAGCCTATATAACATTGCTTTCGATGTTTCTTTCAATCTTGTTTTCAAACTCTCTTTTTCAAAGATATCTCTGCCACCATTTTCTAAAATCTTTTTATAAAGCAGGGTCAAAGGCCTTTCAGCATACGCTATCAGGTCGAGGCCAGAGGAATAGTGCCTACCTTGAACTCAATACAAAAGTCTACTGCTCGAAATTCGAGCATACCCTTGCTTTACCGTAAAAAATTTCACCCAAACGACAGGGCCGATCAAGTCATCCTCCTGCAAATTTCTCAATCAATTTTCCCCAATGTTAAGTAGATCCATTTAGAAAAGGAAGGATCATCTTGAAAACAGACCATTACAAGTAAGCACCACCAACATTAACAATAATGTTCAACAAAGTGTGAAAATAAAAAACTATAAATATCAAATCAAATTTAAGCACCAACCTTAACAGTATGAGTCGGCTTAGTGGCCATAAGAACTTTAAAAAAAATAAGGAAAAATGAATTCAATTCATGGTGTTCATCTATACCTGTATGAGGAGTTCCGCAGTTGTCAAAAACTGGTGAAAATTAAGCATCAATCTGAATATAGCTTCAGTGATTTAAGTCAAATATCCTTAACTAAGATCACAACACATAAGTATTATTATATAATGAGTAAGAGAAATAATTAGACGAAGGTCCAGGTGATGAAACGTATCCGTATCCCGATAATGGTGCGAAGGGGTGCATGCATCAGGCAGCTCAGAGGCCATCTTTATAAAGCTGGCTTTCCACTCACACTTAATAGTCTTCCATTACTTTAACGCACCAAAAATTCATACTCCTCGGAAGGCGCAGGCCAATCATTTAGTTTCACTGTTCTTCATATTGCACGACCACCGCAGCTGCAATAACGATAAAAAGAAAATTTAAACGAAAAGCACAAGAGAACAAAATACGAAAAGAAGGAAACACAAAATATCCAATAAAGAGAGAATTGAATGAACAAACTTTCTAACTTGTGGAGATATACTTGGCCCATGTTTTTGGAATCAAATAAGAACTAGTAGGATTTTTTTATCCCTTGTTTTGTTTTCTCAGCACGAACTTCTTGTTTCTATCTTATGAATAAACGTGATAGAAAAAATATATGTTAGAACAACCTTTATTTAAAACCCTACAGAAGGAATAGGTTGAAATTTTAGGGCCCCCTTTGGGTTTGGGTTTGGGTTTGAAAGGGAGAGAAAGTGATGTTGTAACTTAAGCCTCAATGCTAAAGACTCAAAGCTCACCAGAATAGAGGCCCATAATCTCCCTCAACTACCGATTCTTCCAAGAAATAATGGGCTCCTTTATCTCATTTCAATATCAAGATGGGTCGTGGTCAACAGAAAGGGGGTTGTTTAATGAATTAAAAGAAGAAACAAATTAGCACCAGGGAACCCAAGCCATAAATATAGGCTAGCTAGGTTGAGCAATTAGGAGATATTTACATGCTAATCTAATGGGGTAAAATAATAGAACCTTACCCTCCCATGAACTAAGTAAAACACGAGATTGATTTAAACAAATAATTAAAGCAATTAACATTACAATTCACACATTTACAACACCTACATGAAAATTACAATATTCTGGTCAAGGAATAATATGTTTATCACGATCTTTATTTTCATGGTATAGGCTTACAAACAATTGTGTTTCCTTTCCTTCAAGCATCTTCTCCTCTTGTGTTGCTTCAGGATACGTGCAAGCAAATCATTGTGAGATCCGGTCTGTGTGGGATATGGTCAACAAAGGCAATTGTTAATGTCAAGTTATAATGAGATGAAGAGAACAACTGAAATAATAAAAATTTAATATGAAGTCTTGACGTGTATCTTTTGAGATCAGTGATTCTTTTCTTGTTTAAAAAACAAAAAACAAAAAACAAAATAGGGATTTACAGTTTTCCGGTAGACTAGTAACACTGTATTCGAGCTAAATAAAAGAACCAAGGCACAAGTAAAGTAATCTACCAATAAATTGGATGTATCAGCGATAAATGATAAACTTGGATTTTTTGCCCACTCACAATCTGATTACCTGCACTAAATATCAACAAATACAAAAAGAAAGGGCCATGATGCAGCATGTAAACAAGAATACCTAAATATATTTCAGTATAAATGAAAATGAAAATTAACACACGATGGAATGAATAACCTAAATTTATGATCACAGTTTCCTCCTGTATGAACCAACCCTAACATTCCGCTAGATGTCCATTTTCACAAAGAACGCAACCTCATACCTCTCTAAGCCTGTTGGCTAAGGGCAAGTGTATTGTGCATAAGAAATGCAACCTACAGTACAAAAATGTTTAAAATTAGTTGCTAGAGTTTCTAAAACGAAGTCTTATCGCCCTTGACCACGGTATCAACTAAGTCAATCTACTAAGTGAAGCTAGAGTTCAGAGGGGTTTCTCTGTTTTTCACAAAGATAGTTGAAGTTTCCTAATTGTAAACCAACTTAGATTTTTTGTTCTCAAGCTAACCAGCACAATTCCATAATCCATCTCCAATTACATGGAAATATAACAGAGGACAATAAAGTCCAATAAACAAGCATTGGTCAGAGGGCATAGAATTACATAACAAAGATAACAAGAAAAAGAAATCCAGTTTCTAACAGAGAGGACACTAAAGTCCAATAAATTTAATCCTACCATAACTATGGCAAGGCAATAGAAAATTCAGCACAAAATTGTGCTAAATAAGCTCAAATACGACTCTTTCTCCTTCATGCGTGGTGGACAAGCTCAAAAGGCATGAAAGAGTTCCAAAAAATGGTTTTATGAGTCACTACACCTTTGTAAGTTAACCCCTTTTTCTATACCTGGCATGCGCCACAATTGGCCAGAGGCTTCGCACTGGCCTCAAATGTATGTTACTCTTACAATTTGAATCAAGTTTCAAGACCGAATGATCCAACAATATAGTAGCAATGTCACCATGCTTGCTAATACTTCTACAAAATTATTGGTTCCTCTTCTAGGAAGAAAAAAAAAAGTAATTGTCATATTTTTCAACCATGATAGAATGGAAAGTGTAGACCAACAATTGGTAAAACTATCGCATTCTAATCTCTAAAATTTTAGAAAATTACGTAAGAAGATCAGCATCAGAAAAAATAAACTCAAGTAAACTGTAGACCCATCAACATCGAAAGTTAAAAACTGACACAAAAACATTAAAGTATACTTCAATATCTTCAACTGCATGACAACACATTTATGAGAACCTTCCGACCATCCATAACTCAACTCATTGATACTATAGTTCTTTACAAAACAAACGACATACTAGTTTCCTACAGTTTGTGATTCACACTCTTCTAAGGAACCAAACATGACCTAGAAACTGTCGGTTAAAAGCACAAACACACATAATTCCAAAGCGAGCCGATAATCGATCACGCATACAAAATCACATACCAAAAGGATTAAGGAGAGAGAGGACGGAGCGAAACCTTCAGAAAAACGTCATCACAAGGCTCCTGAGGAAGCGAATGAGCAAAGCAGCAGAGAAGAGACGGCAAGAAAAAGAGAGAGCAAGAACGGAAATGCGAGCAGCAATCGTTTAAGATTCAGATTGAAAACTATGTAATTACTATCGTAATATACCATCAGGATCCCCTCAGGTTTTTTGCAATCCACACGTTCAATTGCCGCTTCAAGAGCATTTCCATGGCAACGCCCTTTCTCTCTCCCATCGCCGTAACCCTAACCACCGTCACCGCCATTCGCTCCCTTTCTTTCCATCCCCTTTCCGTACCAATGGACAACACCAAAACCCTTGGGCCGTCGTTCCCCAACTCTTCTTTTATAAATGCCTTCGCCCGATAATTACAAAAATACCATACTAACTATTTACCTAAATTAATAAAAATAATTTTGTATTTAGACAAAAAAAAAAATATATATATATATAAAATTTCATACATATTTTCTAAATATAGTAACAAAGTTAAAAATTATTAAAAATTCAAGAATATTTTAAAAATAAATATTAATAATTTAAATTTAAAACTAACGACTCTAAAAAAATTTAAATGATAAAACTTTGAATACTGAAATCTTCAAACATTTACAGTACACAACATGTCGAGGCTTCAACTAAAGGTGAATTCGAGAAGATCGAGAAGCCAAAGAAGTAAAAACACCACGAAACCACTATTAACACTGTTACATCGTTATTCCTCGATCTATGGTTTAGTTGGGTGCAAATTTGGAGTAAAAGCTTCACTATCAGAAGAAAACAAATCCTTGCAAAGCTCTCCGTAGAATCTACAAACCAAATCAACAAAAACAGGGCACTTCAAATTCCTCCAACAATACAAAAGCTCTTCCACATCCATCAAGTCCCTCACTTTCCCTTCTTCAATCATCATCTCCACAAGATAATTCTCAAAGCTCCTACAAGCATCTTCCACCTCCTCGGCCGAGCTCGAACTCCTCGTTGTCTCCCCGACCTTCCTCCCTCTCAATGGGGACGAGAACAGAAGCTTCTCTCGAGATCCATCCAAACACTTTCCGCCCCTCAACTCTCTCACTCGCTCCATCTTCCCTACTCCTCGTCGTAGCCACCGGAGCCACGACCAACGCTTTCTAGGACGAGGCCGAACCCAAAGTGATCTTACTGACAAGGGCTTTCTGATCCGGAATTTGAAGACATGGAGGAGTTTCTTGCATGGTTTTGAAAGCTTGGATTTGAAGGAAACTAGAGCAGCTTCCACTTTCATTTTGGAATGATTTGGGTGAAGAGTGTGGGTGAAGGAATGGGTAATGGAGATGGGATTGTTTGTTACCCAACTTTTGTAATAGAAGGGTTGTGCGGTTCACGACGTTGCAACTCAAGGAAAGTGCCATTCCATTAAACTTTAAGCTCTCTCTTTCTTTTCTCATTTACCTAATGTTTGTTCATTACAACTCTTAAAAAATACTTTACTCAATTAAATATTATGTACCTACCTTGATTATTATAATAGAGATAAGCGTGAATGATATGAAATTGTAAAAAATATTGGACTTTATAATATAAAAATCTATGCACGGAGTTTAATAAACTAATGGCTTGCAAGTTGTCGAAGTTATCATCATTTACGAAGATGAATGAAGGAGAAACATAAGGAATTGTAACGTCCTTACGAGGTCGTAATGAGTTTCACGTGCTCTAAACCTGACCCACGTGCGGTTAGAAATCTTGGCCACAATCTAGGCGGTACCATTGATATAAACCAAGGCATTAATAGTTTAAAGTAAGATGTGAAGAAAATATTGTTTAAATTATTACAAAATGTTGTCATTCATGTCAAGTTAAAGAAAGTTATAACTCTTGAAATGTCTCGTGGAATGTTACAGATTTTTATTTTGAGGCTATGTAAAATGATATATGAATGTTTTTCTTTAGCCAATGACTAAGTTTCTTTAAAATGATATATGAACGCACGGACAGATAATCCAAATCTTAATTCTGTCACAGTGATTCCTTATCATTTAGCATATGGTATCGGAGTTTTTCCTTGGGTGCGGTCATTTGTCCTACCGTCACCCAAGAAAGAAGTGTAGTGATCTTGAATAGGAATCCTACGTGATAGATAAAATGTCATTTTAGTCCTTATATTTTTTAAATATTTAAATTTAATCCATGGATTAGCTAAAAATAATAATAATTCCTATGGAAAAAAGGAAGAAATATTATATTTATTGTTTATTGAAGGAGGTAAGCACTTTGATGTTGTAAAACAAGCACACACTTAACATACAAAAACACGACCATTTATGTTTCATAATCACTCACTCAAATAACTCAACCTTCAACCTTCCATAAAAGCTTCCACTATTTACATTTACCTCATTTTTTTCATGTTCTCTTCCAAACATCTTCCCTAGTATCGCCATTTCTTCTCGTTCTCGTTACATTGCTACTTCGGTTCCCGATCGCTTGCCTACTCGACACCCTTTTGCTGCTCGAAGAAACCTCACAAGGCGATTGAAAACCGATGCTTTCAACTGCTCCGACCGTCTTGAATAACCGTCTTCTATTCACTTCCTCGACCAACGAAAGATGCAACAATTGGCTGTGTACATCAACTAGTGACCTGTTTCTTGTTAATCTACGCCCATCCATTCCTCCCCTCTTGTCCTTCCGACTAGACGCTGCTCCTTGAGACGCCCCGACTGCACATTGGCTCGTTTTGTACAAAACTCCACCCACGAAATCCTTGTTTTTGCGGTTCTCAATGGGACAAAATCTAGAGGAGTTGTGAATCTTATGTTGATCTGTTCGAACCGAACTGGTTTCGTACTCGTCGTTGCTGATGTAATTGAAGTTGGAGTACGTTCCCGATGTCGACGAGCATTGTGAACTGCTATCATCAAGGGTGTCATCTGCAAATAGTTTCGATTATGTAAGCCTAAACTACACACGAGCACGAGTTTCATGTTGAGCTAATCGTTTGTAATCCTGTACCTGGGAACCAACTAAAACCATTTGGTATGTTTCGGTTTGTGCTCGGGGAGCCGATGAGGCCTAACGATGTAGCTTGGGACGACGAGGAGATAGAGCGGAAATTACGATGACACGAAATGTCGTCGACGTCGTCTTCTGCATAGCTGAAGCTGAGACTATGGTTGGACAACTCACTTCTATTCCAGTTTGGAACCAGAGCTGATATCTCTCCTTCTATCATGTCTGCTATTTCAAAAGGCTCCCAATCAGAGATCTCTAACTCTTTCACCATCTCGATCGCCACGTCCAATGCCGTGTCGTTCACTATGTCGAACGGGAAATATATGTTCCTAAGCGAGCCTGCAAACATGTTGTTTACATCAGGCTATGACTGTAAAAGATAAAACATACTCCGACACGGAAGATCCGAAAAGTTACCATCTTTATCTGCAGTTTGAACTCTGAGAAAGAGGGTATCGTCTTCGTGGTTCAGCTTCCCCGTGATCGTCATCTTCGTCCTGCTTAAACCGTCACCCAAGTGTAATTTCTCCATCTCTTTAGCATTTAGAAATGGCTTCTGGGTTTGCTTCCTCTCTTTTGATGAAGGTCTATCTCCATCAACCATGAGAAAAGGATCAGCCAACAGCTCCTTGGCAGACGCCCTCATCGATACCGGTACCAAGCATTTCTTGATGAATCTCTCCGCCTCGACATCTTGAATCTTGTACAATGCTGCTGGCAGCTTCCCCTGCATAAAGAAAATGAAGTGTAAATGTCGGATATTTGTTCGTTAATGACACCGACATCGACTCTCGACCCGTGTTCACTTACCGACGTGACTTTCTTGTAGATCTGTGCGGGATTAGAACACTCGCTATATGGATACTCAGCAGTGAGCATCTCAAGAACACACATGCCAAATGAGTAGACATCAACTAGCTCATTGTAATCCTCCTCGTATAATTCTGGTGCCATAAACTCTGGCGTGCCTGCAAAAGAAACACAAAAGCTAGATTAGGATCCAGCAGACTGAGCCCACGGCTAGCAGATATTGTCCGCTTTGACCTATTACGCGTCATCAACCTCACGGTTTTAAAACACGTCTACCAAGGAGAGGTTTTCACACCCTTATAAGGATGCTCCGTTCCCCTCTCCAACCGATGTGGGATCTCACAATCCACCCCTCTTGAGGGTCCAACATCCTCATTGGCACACCCCCCAGTATTTGACTTTGATACCATTTGTAACAGTCCAAGCCCACTACTAGTAGATATTGTCCGCTTTGGCCCATTACGTATCGACATCAGCCTCACGGTTTTAAAACGCATCTACTAGGGAGAGATTTTAACACCCTCATAAGAATAACACAACGGATCCAAACCTATAACACTATGAGCAGATTTGGCACCATGGAGTATAGCAGCAAGCCCCAAGTCACCAATCTTGACTTGCCCAAGATGGCCATTGACAAAGATATTATCACACTTTAAATCTCGGTGTATTATCGGAGGATCGTGCTCGTGCAAATAAACGAGCCCCAACAGGATCTGGCGCGCCCAGCTCTTAATAGCTCTGATATCAACTTGGCTATATCTCTTCCCATATCTGCATAAGAATGAAGATTGTTAATCACCATCATATCAAACTAAAACGTCAACTATCCTACAAATATCGATCGAAACTCACTCTCTGAGCGTTCCAGAAGTAAAGAGTTCGGTAATAAAGTTAAAGGTTTTGTGATCAACATCAATCCATGAAGTGTAGAACTGCATGATGGATTCATGCTTAAGCGTGCTAAGTAAGTGAACCTCGGAATACAACCGCTGCAAATCCTCCGGTGATCGGAGAACCTCGTTGAGTTTCACCCGACTCCATGCCACCTCTATTCCTAGAAACTCATCAATGGCTTTGTACACTGTCTTCATGGCCCCTTTTCCCAACACTTCTTCAAACTATAATACATGTTCATGAAAATATTAGCCAAGAACTCAACCAATAGTGCCATTCTTGCTGCAAATTTTCATTCAATCATTCAAATCAATTCACAAGTTGTTCTTAATTCAAGCTAAAACCCACTAAGCTTTCTTATTCACTTTAAAAAAACAACACAAAAAGAAAGCAGCTCAATCAATCATCAAGAACCTTAAAATATTCAAAACTCAAAAGCCAACAGAGAAGCTATAAATTAATCACCAAAACCAAATGGGCAGCACCAGCAAGTTGAACATATAAAGAACAACCCCACATGTCATTAAACGATTAAACGATTAAACAAACAAAAAAAAGCTACGTCACAGAAAGTATTAATTAAAAACAAGTCAATTAGAGGGGGAAAGGACTTACACGGCCGTAACGACTAGTCGGATCGGTCTCAACATACCCATATTCCGATTTGGAATTCTTGAACATGATTGACGAACAAATCAAGGGCTTAATAGAGAGATAAGAACAGAAAAACAGGGGAACAAGAAAACAATAAGAATCAAATCGACGGCCGCCGTGGCGTCGGAGGAGGAGGAGGGGGATAAACTAAATGCGCGCCTTCCCGTCGTGATTTTCGTTTGAAAAGTGACGGAATAAAACCCAAAAGAGCCTTGAATAGTCAATCCTAAGCATAATCCATCCCATCTCCACCGCCGTGCTCGACCGTTCCAGTTCTGTATGTATAAAACCCACCAACACTCTGTTTTTGGTGGGATCTGTTTGGAAATTGGGGAAAATGAAATTAAAACGAAAAATGAAGATCAAATTAAGAAATTAAAGAGAACCCAGAAGAGTAATTGGTTAATGATTATTGGGTCGTTTCATAAATCTGGAAAAACACTAAAGAACTTGAAGAACTCATCGGCCATGTTTGGATGAAAGCATTTTCAACTGAGAAATGAGAGAGAACCAAGAAGGAACGGCGAAAACAGAGATGGAGAATTTGGAAACGGAAATGGGAAGAAGAAAAAGAATATAAAGAATGAGATAAAAAAAAAGTGGGAATCGTTCAAAATGCGGAGTTTATTCCATTTCTGCGGGTCATCATAATATACAAACAAGAGAGGTATTGGATGAAGACGGGGATGAAACGGCAACGGAACTCACACATCCAGTGAATGAGACCGCGAGGGTGGGCCCCACTTTAATTTGTTCGAATAATACAAATTGTTAACTAATTTTAATATTTAAAATTTTATAAACTAATATTTAACTTTATCAATTTTATAATTTAACTTTTTTTAACAAAAAAAAAAACATATTTATTTTTATTAAAAATGTAAGGATTAGAATTTAAAATTTTAACGCTTCAATAATTAACACGAGTGAATAGGATATATTCCAATCTTTGATTTCATAATCGATAATTCAATTCGATTAAATTATATAAATATCAAATCTAAATTGAAATAAAACTCGGATCAACAACTTTAATTACAGAATAACCATTATAGTTGACTTAATCCATCCATCAATTTTAAAAAATATTCAATTCAAAATTGGATAAATATTAATTTTTAATTTTGGCTCATAAAATTAAATTTTAAAATTTTCACTATCAAAATTAAATTTGAAATTTTAAAAATTAATAATTAATGAAAGAAAAAAAAAAGCCTTCAAGCTGTGGCGGCTATTAAGGTGACATGGCACCACAAAACGACGTTGGTTTTGTGACAGTGAACACGTCATCAACACTTGACTTTTGTTTTCTGCCAGGTCAGCAAACACTTTGGCAAGTACTGATGCGTGGATGGCTCCAATACCAGCCACCTAGGATGGTCCCCATATCAAATCGTTTTTTGTTTTGTTTTGTTTTATTTTTATTTTTATTCGTATTTCCACATTTCAATTATCAATGGTCCCCACCCAATCACATTTTCCAGATAAGATCGTATGTTTTTTTTTTTCCTTAAAGATAAGATAGAAATGTTGAATTATTTCATTTTCTAATGTATTATGAATTATATGTTACTTTATATTTATAATAAAGTATATAACTTTAATTTTTTGAAAAAGAAAATTAATTTCCCATCAATTTTGAAAAATAAAGCACCTATCTTAATAAAATAAAAGTATATATAATTATAAATTTAAATGTTCGACTTTAAAGAAGATAGTATATGTTAATTACTGCTAAGCTAAACTCTTTTTCGTTGATAATATAATAAATCGAGGGTGTGATTTAAGATAAAATTCTCAATTTTAATTAAATAATATGAAATTCAATTATTATCAAGTTGTCGTAACAAGTTGATTGAAAGAGGTGTGTTTGAAAATTAATTTAATATTTTAAATGATATACAAGTTCAATGTTTATGTAACAACGTTAATTAAAAGAAATAAAAGTCAACAACTTGGTTTGACCAATTTTCGAGTTGAGTTTGACATGTTCTTTAGCTCATTGGGTAATTTTAGCTCAACATGGTGGTTCTTCACGACGGTTTTTCCTTCGTAGTTGTGAGATTCCTCACTATCTCACTTTCATGAGAGTTGAGGAACGTGTTGTCACTACTGTTCTCCTCTAAAATCGTAAAGAAACCCTTGAAGTTGCGATAGCTCGAAAGATAAAAAGAGTAGTGTAGTCAATTTAGATCCGTTAATATAGTCCAATATTATAAAATGTAATTTAGCTTAGTCAATGTGGCACAACCAACCCTAGTTCAAGTCTGGTTTGTTTCAAAATCACTAGGTTCAATGCAATTCAGTGCAGTTCGATCCAATTCAAGACTGGTTCACGGGTATTCTTTTCGGTTTAGATTTAGTTTGGGTTTATTTTTTAGTTTTCTTCAAATGTTATTTAAGCTCTCCTAACATGTTAGACGAGTTGTACGATGGATTCTCATATACATTGAAGGTGGCCGGAGAAATTGAAGCATAAACTAAGTTTAATTGTACCAATAGAGGCACAGGCTAGTCATCCCTCATCTTAGTTCCTGGTCATAAACTGGTTGGTCAGAGTTTTGATTTTCAAGACCACAGGTAGGTTGGTCGTGTTTTGGGCCTAATCACAAGCTAGTTTATCAGTGCTTGCAAGCCTAGATAGAGGCACAAATTGATCTTATTTTGGGCAGGAATGAGCAAGTTGTCAAATTTTTGGACAGTTTAGGTCAATTAATTAAGTAATTATATAGTAATTATTGATTAAGTACTATCTTACCAATGATAGAGATTATACACTAATGCCACAGATAGATTTATACAAGAGACACATTATGTGTAATGAATGAAGTAATCACTATAAATATATAACACGAATACCATCACACAAACGATTACGAGCGACATTGAAATCGCATATCGTTAACGATCTCTTGATTTGAAACTAGTATGAAACTGAATTAAAAGAACGGAAGTAAAAGCAAGAATCGACATCTTCCTCACTTTTTTTTGTTTCATTATCAAGTTATCTTCTCTACTAATGTCCAACTAATCTTAATTTTTTTTAAAAAAAAAACTCTTTTAATAAAAATCGCATAAATAATTGAAGGGAGAGAAAATGGCAGCTTGCTACTAGCACACATTCTTATTTTAAATACAGATATATTTAAATATCTAATCTCTTAGTTGATGATATATGTCATAATCAATTGAGCTATGTTCATGTTAACATAAAAATATTTTAAGAATATGTAATTAAATAATTTAGATATATATTTACGAGATAAATAAACAAAAATAAAATAAAATATTTATATGTTCGATGTTTTGTTTTGCATTCTTTTTTATAAAAGTAGTTAAAGATGAAAGAATTCAAATTAAAAATGAACACTTCGATCAAAGGAAAAATAAATAAATAAATAAAATAATATTGTGTTAAATTATGTCCACGAAAAGTGGAGGGATGTTATTGGGTTTGGTGCATATAATCATCATTAAATGTCCAATAGAAGGTACCAATATGTTCATGTGGCACGAACATCTGATCAATCCGGACTACTCAACGCAAAACATAAATGATTGAGTTAGATTAAAGGTTTATTTTTTCGATTTGAGTTGAATTGATTTTTTTTTAAATCGAAAATTTGATTTGGGTTGTGGGTTGACTTTTTTTTTTGTCGGGTCAACTTGACAAACTTGAAAAATAAAAATATTTTACATTTGACATACCTAAATGTGTGATATTTGAATTTTACGAGACTTTTTTAATTATTAATGTAACATGTACTGGGAATAAGTATAATTTTTAAAATAATTAAAAAAATAACAACAACTAATCTAACTCAAGTTAAAATCAAGAGTTTGGTTATTAAACTTTTAATTTTGTCTAATAAATTTAAATATTTTGATCTTTCGAAGAAATTATTTGATATAAATTTTAAAAATTAAAATTGTAATTTATAATTAATATGAAATGCATAATTATAATTTATTGGGAAAGGCATATTTTTGTAACGCTTTATTTAACTAGAACGAAGGCTCCATAATTGAGCTTTTATTGATAAGAACATCTACTTTTCTCTCAATAATTGAATCACCATGTTTTTAAACAGAGCTTTGAAACCAACAACCAACCAGCAATTTGAGCTCCCCATAAATGCTTTTATAGCTTAACGTTTTAGACGTACGCTTAGTTGTTATTCAATTGAGTGATTCGAAACTCTAAAACTATATCTTAAAATTAACGAAGAATCAACGACAATGAAAATGACGTTCACAAAGGAGAAACGTCACCAAGACAATTGATCAGTGAGGTGAAGGCGAACTTTGGGCCGAACATGAGGCTTGAGACACACCCACAAGCTAGAAGCCACTACGAACTCTGAGATGAAGTTGTTGACGTGATTGAGAACTTTGATGACGTAACCAAAATTGAGACTGAAGATATTTTAAAGCTAGAAGCATTGTATGCTCTCCCTTACCCTACATACAATATTTGTTGTGAGGGGAGTAGTAGGGCCGTTAACTTTTCACAGTCAGCAGCTAGGAGTTTCTCATTTTCAATTTTCTATCTGTAAATATGTATCTATCTATATTAAATGTCTGATAAATAATCAACCTAAACATTAAATTGTTTCAATGTTTAATAACCGTTAAAACCAAAGTAAATTAAAGGCGAAAATTATTTTGGACAATGACTCTTTAATTAGTAGTTTGTTTGGACTTTTCTATATGTTTCCATGTCGGTCACCATAGCCACCTTGAATTAATGCCTTGAATTTTAACTAGGAATAAAAGCTTCCCCCATCTCCGTACATCTCTAAATACAACATTGTACTGCAATTGATTGTATAATAGTTAATGATTAATTAAATAATTTAAATAATTAATTTGAAGCCTTCTACTAAATATATGAAAAAAGAAAAATATATATAATTTAGACACTATCTGCGAAACGAACCTAGGTCTGAAATGTGGAAGGGCACCATTATACCACCAGACATCTGATGCTTATGATTTAAACGTCAAGAATAGTATTTACACATAACCAAAAATCGGACGAATGTTATGAACCCAACTCATTGCTTAAAAATAATTTGCACCAGCCGGGAATCGAACCCGGGTCTGTACCGTGGCAGGGTACTATTCTACCACTAGACCACTGGTGCTTTTGTTTCGTAAGTCCAGAAACATATATGAAGAATACTAAACTTCCGAATAAGGTCTTGTTCTAGTTCTTGTTCAAACTCTATTAACAAATAAATTACATTTTGTATGCATATGAGTAGCATTCTTTCTCGTCTATGATTTCGTGGCACAAGAAATCTTCGAAGAATGGAGCAATAAAAATCATAAATAAGACCAGATGAGAAGACCATTGTATAGACAAGGTCGTCTAAGGTTGATCAATGCTGGTAACATTTATAAAAGAAGATCATTTTGTCCATAAAAAATACGGAGGATGGTCCATGTTACCTATTCCTCGCTTTCAACATGTTTTTTCATTACTCACATGTATTCGATAAAAGTGGTTTTTGTAGTTTAGTTAGTTAGAGCACTTGTGCATTCAAAAGGGAAAATATTGTAAAGCTCCAGACGGAAGCATATATATATATATATATAAATCTTAG